TGAAGATCGGTGTTAATTCTTATTTAATTACTGCATGTTCCATAGAGCAAAGAACACATGCTTTTTACTGCTGCTGTCGTGGGACAGCCCTGTCAGCTAAGCCCAAATATGAATTTCAGATCAATTCCTGTTGGTTATTACATTATCTGGAAAAAAAGAAGCTGGATGCAAAAAGAAAACAAGTGGAAACTATTTTGTAACATTACTTTCCTGTTGGTGCAGTTACACCTTCGTGCAATATTTTTGACACCTATCATTGCATACAGCATTTTGTACCAGTGGTATACAAATGATAGCACAAAAACACAAAAGTACAGAATTTGACTGAACAAGCACCGCCTTCCTTTCCATTATTTGCTTTCATTTCCATTATTTTTCCCCGTTTCTCTCCGGCGTCACAATCGTTTATGGCAGAGCGGACCTACGAGCTGAGAAAAGGACATTCTATGAGAGACAGAGACAAAGCTGCCTCTGAAAGTCTTGCTGGGTCCCAGTCTCTTTTGAACTAGCACAGAAATACAGTCAGAGTGTCAGTAGAAAAAAATTTCAGGAAATTGGATTCTCAGGAAAAATATTGTGAATGGCTTAACGAGACGTTAATTAAAATGTCTGGTTTACAATAATCTATGGAATTATTATATATACAGTAGAACAGTGGAGCAAAACCGTGAAGCACCTTGCTTAAGGGTATAACAGTTGTTTGTGGGATTTGAACCCCTGCCCAAGCCAGCTGAAGTTGTAGTATACAACATTTGTCATTATAACCTATACTCCTGCAAAGGGGGACACCTCTTCTTCTCTTGGTCTTTTGCCATTGTTTCCCCGTTCAGTTTCTACAGTGCAACTTAATCTTTCCTGCAGGAGCTCCTAGTCTAAACCCAGACTCCCCTTATGCAGGAGCTCCTGTGGGCAGGCACAGTGGTGTAGGGACGCAAAAGCCCTTTCTATGGCACCATATACCCCGTACGTGTACGACACCCTCCATCAGACAAGGGGAGGCCATTCTAGCTCATTTTAAAGTTAGCAGTTAATTGATCCCAGACATTTCTGTCGGCTTTAACAACATGGCCGGCCACGTTGCCCCAGAACTCCCACCAGCCTTTGGGCACACAAGTTGCCCCCTTTTTAAATGCACTTCTGAGCAGCTTCTGCTCGTGCTCTCTGGTTTGTCTCACTGTCCATTCAGAAGGGAGCTGCTGGGTGCCCTTTGTCAGTACCCATGAGGTTTCTGAATGCTTGTATCAGGTCGTCTTGCAGTCTTTTCTGTCCATGACTTGCAAGTCTTCAGTTCCTTCAGTCTGGCGGTGTAGGACTTTCCCTTGACCCCTACATGTGTGGTTACTCTTCCCTGGATAACTTTCTACGTACCATAGACCACACCATTGATTTCTCCATGCTAGATAAGTGACTATTCTTATCCGCTACCACATAACTTATCCCTCCTTGAGTTGCTCACAGGAAATAACTTTGACTTAAGGGTCTTAAAGCACAGTTTCGTCAAGGGACTGTTAGAACCGGTTGTCTTTTTTTAAAAACTCTGAATCGCCAATTATTAATGAGGAAAATTCGAGTAAACAGAAAAATGAAATTATTCTACATGGAAAGAAGATCGATGTACAATAGGCAAGACTGAAAATGAAAATGGGGAAAAAAAAACATTTTTGTTTGCTTGGAATTACAATTCTCAATTTAGAGTTCAGTGAAGGGAACGTATCACAAAACAACACACTAAGAAATTAACCAAAATTATACTTTATTAAAATGTTATATTACATAATCGGGGCACAGGTATAATTACAGGTGTAAAAATGTCACTGATAACCAGTTTAGCCAAAAGAACACAATGCTATGCACCAGTGGTTCCAAAATTACAGTAGACAAAATATTTATGTATAAACAGGTACAGCATATGAATTACCCTAGTACCTCCTTGGTTCCAAACATACAGCAGCTCAGTGATGAAACATGCCTGTCAGTCTTCTGAGACTCATCTACAGACAACTGTAATGTCTTTAAATCAACCCACAAGCTCACAAACCCTTATCAAGCAACATTTCACAGGAGAAGAATTTTTTTTCCCTTAAATTAAAACGTTAATATTTATCTGAGCAGGCTAAACAAAATAACTGTCTGGTGGACATCTCCAGTCTCTGTGCATGAAGTACTGATGAATTTATTTATTTCAGAACAAAAAAGCTAACACCAAAGGTTATATATATTTTTTATTATCTTACGTACAATCAAGCTAATTTGTCCATTAACTTCACAGTTGTTTTTTGAGTAATCAGACCAGTGAGAAAAACAAAGAGACATTTTCTCACAAAATGAAGAGCACAAAAAAATGAAAAAGTTATACACGATTCCTCAAATTTCTCTTGTTCAAACTACAGAACTGAGAAGAAACTATAGATTCTTCTCAACACTACATCACAACAGATCCTCTACAGCTTTCTGATTCTGGATCCTTAATGAAATGCAAAATAATAATGTAAATACTATTTAAACTGTGAATTTTGTGGACTGATTTCTTAGTCAACTGAAGTGCTCATATGAAGGTCAAGGTTAACACAGAGAACCTTTGCAGGCAAATACTGCCCCTAGTGGTGGATGCCCTTAGTGTCCCAAAAAGTAATGATCTGCTGAAAAGGACAATGTTTTTACAGCAATAGCTCCCATATGCTACACAAAACTCATTTCAGTTACTGGGTACACCACACCAATACAAACAGAAGATTTTTTCTGCTTTTAAGGGCCAGGTTGTCCAACCATGAGTTTTCAAAACGATTCTCAAAACTGCTACCTAAAACCTGCTTGGAAAGACTAGGGCAACTATATACTGTACATCTCTACTTTGAAAACCTTAATACTTCTCGGTTTCCACAATCGGAGGCTCAGCCAAAACACCTCAACTCTCGACAAAAAAAATAATACATTTTAAGACCAGAAATCTGCCCAGCCACCTTTTTAAACAGAAATCTTGAGCTCAGCTTCCTTGGAAGGGAACCTGGGGGGGAAAAAGGCTGAGTAATTAACCAATTCAGAAATCCTATAAGCAAACCAGGCTTTTCCAGCGCGCCCCCTCATCTGTGCTCGGATTCACACGCGCAACACAAGCCAGCGACTGCGTTAAAAGACCTTAAGAAATACAGTGGCGTCTCACGTCAACAGTTCGTTAAGATGTGACTTCTGCACGAATGCCGTGTGCGCCGTTGGCCGTTGAATCGTTTGCGAGAAACGCTGGCCCGGCCGCCCCGGGTCAGGCCTGCACATCCACGAGCTCGGGCGGCATGGGCGCCTTGGGGTGCTTGCTCTCGAAGTGCTGCTTGAACGTCTTCGGGTCGGGCATCTGCGTCTGAGAGAGACGGGGAACACCCTCTTGTAAGCGAAGGAGGCAGGCAGGCTGCTCAAGGCCCCTCACGACACCATAATGCCTTCGCTGTGTAATCATACTTTTTTCAGTGTGCAGCCCCACCTGGATGAAGTGACAGCAGCCATAGTGCTCCAGTACACTCCCCACACACCAGCTCTCAGTGGGGAGGAGAGCAGAGTGATGAAGCCCGTTCAGAGATGGGGATTATTAGGAGGTCATGAGTAAAGGTCAGGGGGAAATTTGGCCAGGAGGCCGGGGTTACACCCCTACTCTTCTTGAGAGACTCCCTGGGGTTTTTAATGACCACAGAGAGTCAGGACCTTGGTTTAACATCTCATTTGGAGGATGGTGCCCTTTTATAGTATAGTGTCCCCATCACTATACTGGGGCATTAGCACCCACACAGACCGCGGGGTGAGCACCCCCTACTGGCTCCACTAACACCTCTTCCAGCAGTAGCCTTAGTTTTTCCCAGGAGGTCTCCCATCCAGGTACTGGCCAGGCTCACACACCTGCTGAGCTTCAGTGGGCTGCCAGCTGGGAGTTGCAGGGTGATATAGCTGCTGGCTAGCTAGCTATGGGTTACACGCACACAAACGTACAAAACACACTAACAGTGCACGTTAAACAAGACATAACAGACATCTTTCCACACATATTCATTTGACACTTCTCCTACAGGAATCCACACAGCTGCACCAGACCCCTGTGAATTCACTCCCAGACAATTACACAAAGCCTTTATATTTACACATTACACCTTCACTTCTAAACACAACCCAATTGGACGTGCCATAAACCTCCCACTTTTAGGGTGAATTAGTTTATTGATTGAGTACAGGATAAAATAATTCCTCTTTTTGTGAAGTCTAATCTGTTATGATTTTTCCACTATACCCTGTCACTTCTGAAATAAAAAAAAAGTTTCCTAAAATCCGTAAAATTCTTATTTGAAGACAGTGAAGAGCTTCTGCTCCAAACATCAGATTCCCTGTGGCACCGAGAACAAAAAGAAAACCAGGAAAATGGATCTCAGGCATTTGGGGACTGTACTGGAAAAAAAAAAAGAGTAAAAAACTTATTCACTGGCCTTACGTACTTGTTTTGGTCTTCAAAAGAGCTGCATATGGTTTTGTTTAATAAACTTAAACACTTTCCATTTTCCAGTTATGAGATAAGATCTGGAGGGAAAAAAAATAACGCAAACTAAACAAAAGGACCGAACTGGACTAGCAAGACGGCTGTATTATGAAAACATTGTGCTTTGTGCTTGTCATTGCCAGAATAGTTAGTGAAGACACAGCAACCACAAGCTAGGCCAGACAACGCGATAAAATGTTCCCGTTAGAGACAGGTCACGTGCCCCTGATCACTGTAAATAAACTCCACCCTACTGGCTACCTCCCCTAGCCAAACGCTGTCAGCATTTTTCATGATACAAACCATTTTCATGTCCTTCACTGCCTCTGCTATGGTTCACTAATTTAGTGTTTAATGAAAACAGGTGCTGGGTTTATTCCCAATGTGGGTTTAGTCCATAAAAGAGAAAATATTACTGCTACCAACTGCACAGGATCTCAGCGTTCGTGACATTCAGTTTTGTCTACAGCACAACCTTTGTAAATACATATTTTCTGTGGGAACCCGACAACAGGAATCCATTAGAATCCTTTGTCCTTGTTGTCTTTCTGGTCATCGGCACCTATAGCTTCGGAGAATCGGACTGCACTTTGTCCAACACACGCCAGGGAGGTTTAAAAACAAAAAACACGAAGAGCCTCAATTTCTCCAATAGCCACGTCTCTCAAGCTTTTGCTTCTGGGAGTGATAGTCCATGATACCGTTTAATTTCAGGAATTTAATAACTGATTTTTTTAAAGCACTGATTTTTGTAAGTGGACCCAGGGGGCGTTATGACCAGCATGTACACGAGCCGGCCAGGAAGTACGGTCATACCCCTTTCCTCTCCTTACAGTGAAGCTTCAGTGCTTTCCTGTCCCCTGAGAATTTTTAAAAATGTCTTTCTGGCTGTCCCCTCATCCAAAAAAAAAAAAAAGATTAGTAAACATGGTCAATGCCAGTAGAGGCGGGAGATTTCAGAGATTTCTGGGAAGCAGCTGTAACGCAACACTTACCACTGTGACTTTCAGGCAAACTGAAACCGGGGCTCCTCCTTCAGACTCAGAAAGAAGATACCTACAGTGTCAAACAAGTGACGTTTTCTGCCTTCTCAGCCTTATCCTAGGCAGCCTGGGCTCTCACCCCACAGACAGAGCAGGTGAACACTAGGACAGCCTGGGCTCTTAACCCACAGGTGTCTCACCCCACAGACAGCGCAGGTGAACACTAGGACAGCCTGGGCTCTCACCCCACAG